GGGATATTTATCTGTCACTAGCAGGGTTGCCAAGTCTAACGACGATCACGTCCCATGGTGGAAGGTGCGAAATGAATCTTTTACATTTGCTGGTTTTGAATTTTTTCGTGAAAATTTACTAGGTATCATGATTATAAGCTTCTTTGGAAAGAGAAATATCTCCTATTTATGAAAATATTTTTGGTATCATCTAACCGTTGCAATCAGTGCACAAACACTGTGACAAATGATTTATAGCATAACCCGCTGCCCTATCAATAGAAATTTAATATACAGGTCGCCTAGCCGTGGGGATGTAGTGGCCGGGATGAATATCATGGCAGCAACTGATGATTTGGGCATGTCTGGTAACAAGGTATGAAGTGAAAGTCGCTAACTTCACAAATTTGAAGATTTTGTACAATTTTCTTGAAAATGATGAAAGATATGTCTGATTTGGCAGGGTAATGTCGCAGCCAAATGGCAGTCACTCTTTCTGACACAGTCCGGATCGAAAGATGACAATACTCGTGAAATGTATTGATACTACTAAATATAGGATCGTATCGAACATCCCTACTGTCAAGATGTGTAAGCCAAGATACCGACGGAGCTATTTTCGGCGTCATGGAAATAATTCTAAATTCTCATTTGCATATTTTCAAGTATTGCGCAATGATTTTGGGAAAAATGTCACGAATAGTCTTATAGCGCATAGTAGAGTATATTTCAACAGTTGGCGGAACTTACTCCACTGGGACCAGGAGGGTGAAACGGGATATTAATGCACAATCTGGCAGCCCTGTCGCACCCTCATAAAATGGCCGCTGACAACCACACAAGTCACCGTGTTGTCATTGAATAGCATGGAATTAAACTTTCAGAGTATATGTTTTGTGACTGGTACCAAGAGTTGACACATCCCACGCATGTGTCACTCCTTGAAATGCAATAATCAGCTGTATTCAAATAATGTCTAATATAAATATAACCTAGAATGTGTACTCGTGAAAAAAGAAAAATATGGCAAATTTGTAGATTTTTTTGCAGGTTTTAGGTTTGCTGGTAGCTTTAAATCATATATTTGGGAAGTTCTTAATCGCTGTGAATATAGTGTGGATGTTTGTTCAGTTCCTGAACAACGAAAAATATTCCACTTTATGGGTGTATGGATATCAAGAAAAGTGAATGGTTTTGTAGGAATATCAGTCTAAGGTGCCATAATGGTTCTGATGAACGGCAAGTAAATGAATGAATGTTTGGAAACGAGCAAGATCTTTTGGTAGAGCCTGTCATCAAGTAGGTGCTTAATGGATATCTGCAAGAGGTTTATAGGAGAAAACGCCCAGTATCGCATATCAATTGAAGAAAATAATATAAACATGAATAAAAAATCAACAATAGTAATTAAAACATGAATTTTATTCAAAAATCCAATATTTCTTTGAATTATGACTGAATTATATGTAATTTCTTAATATTCAATAAGCTGGTGATGTTTCAATGACAAGTTGTCATCTCATACTTTGACAGTATTTTGTTTTCAACATTTCGTAGCTATTGGTTGCTAAAATTTGTTGAATGGAACTTGAAGCTCATTCGCTGTATCTGACGGTCTGTTACCCTATAGGTGGAGAATAACGGACTGTTGTTGGTGAAATTGGCCCTAAATATATTAATGAGTCCGTATCACAGTAAAATAGCTCAACATAAATAGATCATACTGCTTGGACCACCTATAAGCCGCTTGTCCTGTAAATGTGCGCTAATGTGAAATCTCGAGATTTACGCTAGTTTGCTGTCAAAAGTGGTAGTTGCTGATTGAGTTTCCAAACCTAATCTCCAAATCATCTCAGGTCGATATCTAGGTTACATCTGAGATCATTGATAAAATGTTACTCGATATCCCGAAACATTTGTTTGAGTCTACAAAAAAATTTGATAATTTGAATGTTTTGTAAAAAATTCTTTTCAAAGATATTCATCGTTGCAAGTTATTCGGATATTCAATCATATAAATGCGTTATTCTGCTTGTCTCAATTTTTTGTCTTTCTGGTCACATTTCCGTCATCCCGCTTTTCTCTTTCCGTTATTCAATTAGAAATTGCGTGGCATTTGGAACGTCCCTGGCAGTTTTTGCTTCCATCCGACGCTTTCCCAAAAGTGATTGTTTCGTAATAATCCATTGCCATCGCATTGTGTTCTCAGGCTTTAATCAGGACGAGTTGCCGGAAAAATGCAGTTTCAATTAATTCTGGCATGTATGCATCGAATTTTGCAGAAAATATGAAACGGGCTTCCTATAATTGGAGCATGTACGAATCTCCCCAGTGGCATGACGGCAATGGGTTAGTATTGGGTCGCAATTTGCAGGTGGATCGTGTCGAGCAATTTCGAAGATGGATAGCCGTATTGGAACATCGTGGTGCTTAATTGGAAGGTTTTTGCACAGTCGCACTTCCTCTAATTCAAAATACGGAGCAGTCGCTGTATACACAGATTTCGTTACAATGAGTGAGTGCAAATCCTAAGTCAAAAACAAAAACCATAAGTTTGACATATAGGGAACGCTGCCAGATACAGACAAGGCCTAGACCTTAAGCATGAAACTCTTTTATAATTCAAGCTTTCGCTAATGTTCACAGGTATGTTACAAATAATAGTAATGTGAGTAGATAACAGCTTATTGCCATACAGGGTGATTCACAAGTCGTGACCAAAAATGAAACATCATACACAGGCCCGCATTTCTTTTATGTAACATTTTTTCCTCAAGGCGTTCATTAAAAGGATACGGGGCCGTTGAAGTTTAAAATAAAAAAAAACGTATTTTTTAATATCTTCAAAACCGTCAACTGGTATGAACTAAAATTTGGCATGCGGATATACCTTAGTAAGAAACGTGCAAATTTTGTTATCGTCAGTACTAACATTTGTTTTTGTAAAGGTCAAGTTAAAAGTTTTTCTTTAGCAATGAAGAGCGCGCCGATATTATTTTTGTGTACGGGTTCTGTAATGGAAATGCTTCAGCGGCTTCTCGGGAGTATCAACGAAGATTTTCTAACAGACGCGAACCTACCCCAAAGGGTTTTACGTGTTCATTTCTAAGACTTCCGCAATATGGAATTGCCAAACATCCCGGAGTTAGAGTTCATGGTGTCCGGCACGCCGTTCAAGAGGAACTGAAAGCAATTAATTTGGCGTTGGATGATCCTAGTAGAAGTATTATGCGTATTGCAGTCCAGTTACCATCTTCCCAAAGTCTTGCGTGTAGAATTTTGAATCGGGAAGTTTAACATCCTTACCATCGGCAAAATGTGCAATGTCTGCAACCCCGCAACAAAGTTCAACGGCGAAACTCTTGTGAGTGATTGCTGCAAATGCATAATCAAAATGCATAATTTATTGATTTGGTTTTGTGTTCAGATGAATCGCTTTTTACGAGGAGTGGAGCCTTTAAATGTCATAACAAACATATGTGGTCGTTAGAAAATCCCAGTTCTGTGAGAATCCACTCGTTTCAACAGAGATTTTCTAGAAATATCTGGTGCCGCATTTTCATTGGCCCACTGTTCATGCACGTATTTTCACAACATTCAAATTCTAGAGACTTACATAGAAGAATAGTTAGATAAAGTCCCGTTAGCAACGAGTGTACGAATGTGGTATCAGCGCGATGGTGCCCCAACGCATGTTCATCGTGACATGACCACATGGTTAAGTAATTATTTCAGACAACGATGGATTGGAAGGAACGGACCTGTACATTGGCCTACCAGTTCTCCTGATTTCAAACCCGTGGACTTTTCTTTGTAGGGTGCTTTTAAGCAACTAGTGTAGGCTTAACAAATTAATACTGTTGATCAGTTACAGGAAAGAATAGATATTTCGTTTCATCAAATTCAAGCCACAACAAACTTTGCGGAAATACGATTTTCTTTATCAAAAAGTTGCCGCACTGTTATCCATCAGAATGGTACACTTTTAGAACATTAATTGAAATAAAGCTTTGATTATCTAATTTGTTTGTGTCTTAATATTTCGAAATCAATGCTGTCTAGGAAAAAAGACAAGAGTAATTATTTGTAGCAAATTGAAGGCAAAATAATGCCACTAAAAGATTAGGGGCAGAAGACGGTATCCCCGCCACTAGTGCACGTTAATTTTGAGTAAAGACTTTTGAATGTAGACAATACTTAGGTAAATCCATATACCAAATTTTAGTTCATTCTGGTAGACGGTTTTGAAGATATCAAAAAAAAAGGTTTTTTATTTTTAAACTTCAACATCCCGTATCCTTTTAATGAAGCCTTCCAGGATATGTTAAATATAAGACCCCCCCTTAAAATGCAGACATGTGTATGATCTTTCATTTTTGGCAAGAGCTTGTGAATCACCCTGTATAAAAGCGAAGCAAGACCAGCTGTAAAATGCCAAAAGTCTAAAGATATTCTCATAGCTTGATTCAATTGATTTTTTTTTCATTTTTACAGATGTGTCCACACTCTCGGCCATGAGTTATTATGCTTTGCATGTTACTACTGTTCTCTCTTTATATAGACCGTGTGTGTGTCTATGTGTGTACGACTACTGATTTTATTCGCGTGAACTCGGAGCGAGGTTTATCGACGTATACGGGAAATTTGTGTCGGGAAAGGAAAATTTCCGACAAGTAGGTTAATTCTGCACTTCATAGTAATTCCAGTTTTGTAAATAGCAACTATAAAAATATTTCTAACACTTGATATCAAGCACCATATGCTTTTTCTATTTTTTTTTTATTTTTACATTCATCTAATTCCAAGTTAATCAGTCATACTTGACTGTTCGACTTCCTATTGCAATAACACAACTTTCCTAGACTTAAAAATTATACTTTTTAGTTCAGTTTGCCCTTAAAGCGTGTTTTTAGTTTTTTTTACGTATAAAAGGCAGCAGCGGTGGCCGCAGTAGTAGACTCTTCGGTCTCGTGATCAATCGCCGTGCGCTGTGCGGGTTCCAATCCCGTCTCAAGAGAAATTTTTGTCTTGGCTATGGATGTTGTGATTGTCCGTAGGTGGTAGACGGTATCTGATTGTCGAACGCAGAGGTACCACCCAGCGGATCTCGTAGGCGGTGCTAGAATGTGTGCATGTTGCACGCACACGTGTTGCCTCGAAAGAGTCCGTGCGGCGTCCCCCCTTTCCCCTGTGTCCCCTATAGCCCTTCGGTACCCATGGGTGTGTAGGCCTTAGGCCTTCGTGGTAGCTGGAGTATAAAAAAAATTCCGTCTGTCTGTTAGTCTGTTCGTGTACCTGTCTCTCTGACCACGAGCTTTTGCCCCCTTTACAACTTGGAAAGTTTGTAATTTTTATGAAAGGTTACTACTAGTCCAAGGTCAAAAATGCTCTGTAGGTTTTGGACATCGATTCAGAGGGGGACTTACGGGCATAAAACAAATCGCTCGAACTTCTTTTTTTGACATTTCAGGCACACCTGCTTTTCATTGAAATACGTAATATTAACCCTGTATCTGCCTTTGCGCGACACCTTATTGAAAAAATCTAATATTGACATAGGTTATCAGTTATTACTTATAGATGACATAAGATATTATAAAACTTGAAAAATAACCTGGAAAAATTACTTTAGAATTAGTTGCTTGCGCAACATTGCGAGATAAAGTATAGGTTCTATTGTTACTTGCAAGCAACATTGACCAATAAAGGTAAACATAATTGCACTGGTTTATATGGAAAATCATTTATTTATAAAACGAATATCAAGAAATAAACAAAATATATATTTCTAGTTTCACAAAATACAATGTGATGAAACAGCTAAACCTAATTGTAATGGAAAAGGTAGAAACAATTCTTATTTGGGGTGAAACAAAGCCTAAGATTGCACTTAGTACAAAAGATTGTTGTAAATCTATTGGTACAGTGCCTGCATCTACCTTTTGTACCATAAGTTGGCCAATGACATATGCCATCTTTTTGGGTGGTGATATCAGGTCTCGGCAGTATAGGGTTTGATATTATTTTCGCAGGGGTTTTATTAGTCGAGGAAATGGATGGTCTGCCACGAGAACTTTGTTTTCCTGCGTTGGCCAACTATTCGGCTAATTCCATACGGAAGTCCTTTAGCGGTTTTGACGTTACACGTTGCAGTCCTTTCTATTCAGAACCCAGGCGTTGATCACTGACATATCAAGAACCCGTGTGAAAATTGGGAAGTACCATCTTTTCGATCTGCTTGGACTGCGATACAGACCAAGTAATGAATTGGCCTTATCGACACCGCCCATGTGCTTCTTGTATTGCGTTATAACGGATGGACAAGGGATGGAAATTTTTTTCTTTTCCACTTTCGAATACCTTTTTATCGATTTTACGGGATTTAGGCCACAGAATGTACTTGCTAATAGAACATATTTATTGTCAGCCCATTTTACTACCATTATACCTTTGTCTGTATCTGCTTTATAAACGTAGGAACCTCTTCCCCTTTTTTGAAGCACTTTATCGGTTTCAAGTTGACATCCAGCTATTCTGTTATACCTTATAGTTCCTAAACTAAGTATCCCGAGTCGGTCTTTCAGATAAATAAATAATTTTACACTTGAAAACCAATTGTCACAGAATATAACAGTGTTTTTCGGTTCGCTTAGGGTTTTGCACAGAGAAATGACGGCGCTAGCACTTACACCTAGATTTACTTCATAATCATCTAACTCATTCGGAGATCCTCTAAGCACTTCAAATGTCGCAGCTCCCTGATAGGGTATGAAGTTGGCAATATAACCAGAAACCCCAGCTCGAATAAAAAATTTAAACCCTCATTTGTGGGGTTTATTTTGGATATACTGCCTCAAGTTGCCCGCATATGTGCCTTTGTAAGACACCATTGTTTCATCAATTGAGTATTGATTTTCAAACTGGAGTTTATAACAGATCTTGCGTACAATTTCTAATAAGGGTCTAATTTTGTAATATCGATCCTTTGTCTGGTCTGTTATGTTAGTATTACCATTGAAATGGATAAACCGTCCTAGTTTCTGAAACCTCTTCAGAGGCATTATATTGGCCACGTGATCTACTCTTGCACCAGCTGCCCAAGAATCTTCTATGGCAGGAAGTTTTATTACACCCATAATCAAGAGTATAAATAGAAAATCCGTTATTTCTGACGGATTTGTATCAATACATTGCCCAAGTTGCTGAGTACTATAAAGATTTTTCTGATAGACTATTTTATCCATTAGATCAAATGAAAAAACTTTGTAAAATACTCAATGGGAACTGCAATGTTGTCAGGTTCAGGAAAGTCTGGTGAAGGTATGTTAGCTTAAACTATGTCAGCTTCAATCTAAGAATATGATTCAGTTTTTCGTCTTTGTGGTGGTGGCGGCTCAGTTTCATCGTCACTTTCTTCGAATTCAGAATTACTTTCTGGAACCAGCATGTGAAGTCCTGAAGGCACTTCTTCTTCATCCTTAAGCTCATTTGTTTGGGAAATATTTTCTCCGTCACTGAAATCGTCGTCTGAGACATCGGAAATATGCGGATCTGTGGGAATTACGGTCGGTGCCTTCTTTTTTCAGAAAAAACATGTAGTGCTTATGGTTGGAAAATTATCCAGATCGGAAGACTGAGAAAAAAAACGTAATTATTCTGGCAATGTTGCTTGAGAGATACATACTAAACAAAGTCGTTTTCCTGCCTTATTTTCTGATCTATCGCTTAATAATAATCATAAACATAAAGACTCAACCTTCTTTTATGCCAACCAAGGCTAATAGAACAAAAACAAATCATTAGTTACCATTTCCAACTAAAATCCCAACTACATTCATACGTGCACCAAACACCTGTTACGCGGCAACCATATTGAAATTTTTTTATAAACAGAGGTCGCTCATAATATTAGTACCGTTAATGAATAATGTAGCTTACACGCAACACTGCCCAATCAGACCGTTAGGGCAGGGAGGACGAGAAATTGAGGTTTAAAAATGATGTTGCCTACAGGCTACAGCACCAGATATAGGGTTAAGCAGCTTCTGATCTCCAAACACGTAAAACAGTAAGAAAGTGTTTGAATCATTCATATTTACAATGATCGCATTTTGTTTATATAGAACTTCTAACTGTAGCTGACATATGAAAACAAAATTACTTGTGGTATGTTGAGGGTCACGTACGTCAATCCTCGACACTCATCATTAATAAGTCATAATTTAATTTCCCTAGTACGTCGAACGACTTCCCCAATAAACTTTTGCAAAACATACTCAACATTGCTGAATCACCCTTTAATCTCATTTCATAAATAATAACCCCAATGTTCCCGTGCCGGAATACTGGAAAGGATCCCCTTCAAACAGTATGGAACTTCATGGGCGTACTGAATGTGGAAAAAGTTATTTTGAAATGGCATCACCTTAGATATCCTCAATGCAGGGTAATAAAGTCACTCCCTTAGGAAGCTTCATTTTTTATATACAGTGTCACCTAAAGGTTCGGATTTTCCTGTGCGCTAAACCGGAGGCGAAAACGTAAAAGATAAATAACTGAAAAGTACTTCTTCATTTACTTATGTTTTGTTTACCAAATTTACGGGTGACCCTATTTTTACAAAATAAAATCACGAAATGGGAACAACATTTCCAACATGTAAGCTCACAAGACATAATTATTAAAATCACAATTTAAAAGATAATTTCTAAAGCCTGAGAGTGTACAGGTAAAAATATCAATATTAGACTGAGCTAAATTGATAACACGAAATGCTCTATCGAGTGGACAGTGCTGACCATAGGTTGTGGGATGGAACTTAATCGCAAGCAGACTACTATTACGCAATGTTCTACGGGGCACAATAAGATTTATTAATGTTAACAAAGTTTCGCAATTGGTGATCCCCAATAATATCTTGAAAGCGAAACAACCATCAAAGACCACGAGGAACCAGAGATGTAACCTTGAATTTCGAAGACAGTTGTCCACTAATTTTTACAGATTGAGCCCTACCCTTAAGGAAGTTCTCCAACCACATTATAGTGTTTTCTTAGAAACCATAACCTGACAGCTTTGCCAATACAATGTCGAAGTTCACTCTGTCGAAGGCTTTGGAAAAGTCTGTGTAGATTGCATCCACCTGGTGACCCTTTTCCAAGGCCTCCAACAGATCAACTTTATGAGATATCAAATTCTCCTCAGTTGATCTACCCTTAGTAAGTCCAAATTGACAGCTACTCACAAGCCCACAGCAATACCAGTTAAGTTGATCATATATCAAGCTATCAAAAAGTTTCGGAGTTGATAACTGGGTACATACACCTCTGTAATTATTGCTAATATCTTCAACATCTCCTGACTTAAAAATTGGCTTAGTATAACTGTGCTTCCAAGTGTCAGGAAAAACACATGTTTGAATGGACACATTAAAAATAAGATGCAAGAGTTTAGTAAGTGTAAAGATACATTCTTTGAGAAAAACCTCTGGAATTTGGTCAGGACCCGAGCTGAACTTCACTGGGAGACTTAAGATTTTATTAAATATACTAAGTGACATATAAATCTGAACACCCAGTTTAAATGGTTTTGTTTTGATAAAAGTTGGTGAATGTATTTATCTTACTGTAAATAACAAGTGAAAAAATTTTCAGCCTTATCAGTTGAACATTCCGGTTTTTACACTGCTTTTTTTTAATTCACTAACGCTCTAAAAATGAATATTTCAGCCGCAGTAAAGAATCAACGTTGGCGGATTTTGGTTCTTGACATCCTTTACGATCGGTTACGATGCCTAGAGTACGGAGACCTGTACGATTTCGTCAACTTAGTGAGTTTGATAGGGGCCGTATAGTGGGACTTCGGGAAGCTGGACTTTCTTTTCGGGCAATTGCAGTTAGAGTGCAAAGAAGTGTAGACACTGTGGTTAGGTGTTGTCAGGCATGGCTTCGAGAAAGCCGTACGCAAAAAGCAAGGGGCACTGGACGCCGCCGTAGAACAACAGACCGTGAAGATCGCCGCCTAAGATTATTGGCCTTAAGGGACCGTTTCTCCACTACCAGGTCCATTGCAAATGAATAGTTTGCAGAACACGGAAGACCTATTGGCATGCGAAGTGTTTACCGACGAATGAGAAGTTTTGGCTTGTTTTCATACCGGCCACACTGGGTCATCCCTTTAACTCGAGAACACCGACGTAATCGCCTTGAGTGGTGCAGACAACGGTCACTCTGGAATCAGGAATGGAACAGTATTGTCTTTAGTGA